TACTTAGTTCTGCTACTCTCCAGAATTTCGATGAAAAAGAAGGAGACTTGATTGGATTCGATTAAAAAAAAAAAAAGCAAATTTAGTGGTTAAATTCGGGTTTGTAGCGAATTTTGCATCCCCTCCAGAGGGCAGCACAACACAATTTTTAAACAACAGGTGACCTCACTTCCTTTCTCTAATTAAACTGAATTCCTACATTTTTGGAGAAAGGGCTTGCCCGCTCCTGATGGACATCTCTCGCATAAATACATTTTGCATCCCAAAATGGCAGATAGGGGGAGAACTCTGTGCATGCTTTGGTGCACCCTCTAGTCTAAACCTTTCTTTTTTCCGTTTGTTTTTAAGGTATACCCTGGTTTCTCCCTGGGCGAAATGCAATGCATGACTCATTTGAGTCATTTGGCCACAGAGCATGGAATCTGGCGTGCATCATCGAGAGAGAGAAACCAATTTAGGTTGTGAAGGTTGAAACCACAAGCTCAGGACAAGGAGAGGGGAAAGGAAGTCAAGTCTTTCAACACATGCTCAGGAACTGAGTTTACTCTGAGCACGCTTGATGCCCTAAAATGGAGATCTGATTTACATGAAACCGATCCACCCGTTTGCTCAAAGATTTAGCGTGCGAACGACACGCTGCCAGTCCATTCCAGACAAATGGTGGTACAGTCTCTTTTTAAAACTTCCAAATTTTACCGTTGGTATGAATTAAGGAGAACTGCTCAGACTTCAAGTTAATGGTAGAATTAAAAGATATATATAACTGTACATATAATTTCTTAAAAACTTCCAGTGTTGGAGCATTCACCGCTTCTGGAGGCAGGTTGTTCCACTGATTAATTGTTCTCACTGTCAGGAAGTTTCTCCTTAGTTCTAGGTTGCTTCTCTCCTTGATTAGTGTCCATCCATCGCTTCTTGTCCTGCCTTCAGGCGCTTTGGAGAATAGCTTGACTGCCTCTTCTTTGGGGCAGCCCCTCAAATATTGGAAGACTGCTATCATGTCCCCCCCCCCTCGTCCTTCTCGTTGTTAGACTAGACACAGATGGACTGAAGATAAGGTGGCATTTAGTAAAATGGTTGAACTCAGTGCATGCAATGTGAACTGGAAATCGAAGCGAGAATAGACAGGAATCTGAATTTTTTTTTTCCTAACAAACAAGCAAAAAAATAACAACAACACAACATTTTTGGAGCAATTGTTCTGCCTACAGTAATATAGCAGAATGCAATTTTTTTCTTTCTTTCACAGAAAGATTTCTATTTTAGATTAATTACGGTGCAGTATGCTGATTCAGCTTGCCTATTTCTCTAAACCGTGTTTCTCTAACCAGTTTATGAAACAAGCCATAATTGGCTGTGGCTGCACCCTATGCTGACCGAAAACCAGATAATCCACATCAAAGATTTAATGCAACATATAAAAATACCACCTGCAGTGTGCATTGCTGCCCTCCTTTTAAAGTCACTTTGCCCTGAACGAAATATATAATTTGCTCGTTTTCAGTTTAATTGAAACGATACTAGCTCGTGTGCTCTTTTTCCCCATCAAGCACGCAAGCCTTTGCAATTTGAAAAGCCTAATGAAATAGCCAAAGCTATCATTGCTAAGCACTTCCAAATGTCCACAGTCGTTATTTAAATGGAATTATTCATTTAAATATGAATTCTTCCGCCTCGTTAGATGCAACTGTCCTTCAGACTATGCAAACGACTGGCGAATCTTCGGCCTACCTCGCAGGATGGTGGGGAAGATAGAGCAAAGGAGAAAAGAACACGTTGGAATAGTTTAGTGTTACCAATGTGAAGGGACATAGGAACTTCAGTCAATCCAGAGAGATTTTTTTTTTTTTTTGAGGGGGGTGTGTGCTTGGTACTCTCTGAGCTTGGTGGTTTTCTTGCAGACGTTTCGTGACCAAATTAGGTAACATCATCAGTGCTAGAATGGAAGGGGTATGCAAGGAGAAGGAGAAGGAGGAGGAGGAGGAGGAGGAGGGAGGACGACGACTGTGGGTTCCTTGGTGCTCTCTGAGCTTGGTGGTTTTCTTGCAAGACGTTTCATGACCAAATTAGGTAACATCATCAATGCTAGAATGAAGGGGTATGCAGGGAGGAGGAAGGGGAAGGAGGACAGCTGTGGGCTCCTTGGTGCTCTCTGAGCTTGGTGGTTTTCTTGCAGACATTTCATGACCAAACTAGGCAACATCATCAGAAGGAAGGGAGTTTGCTTATTTGAACACTGATGATGTTACCTAATTGGGTCATGAAACGTCTGCAAGAAAACTATCAAGCTCAAAAACCAACAAAGAGCTCAGAGGAGTCCTCCTCCTCCCCTCCCTTCTAGCACTGATGATGTTACCTAGTTGGGTCACGAAACATCTGCCAGAAAAGCACCAAGCTCAGAGCACCAAGGACCGAAGACTGCAAAGCAGACTGTCCCTTGCGCCAGCGAACTCTGGTGAGGTTAATTCTCCTCCTCCTTCCAAGTGGAGATATCACCACCAGCCCTGAGAGGTGAGCTTTCTTCCTGCGGGGATTCATTCCAGGCGTTTCATTCCATGGCCATCCGGCAGGGCCGACTTCTCCTCTCCCACCTGGTGCTTCGCTACGTACCAGGAGCAGCCCAGTCTGCACTGAGGTGTGATTCAGCTCCAGGGTGCCCCAGGTGCCGTGAGTGATCCGCCCGCGATGGCGGGGAGCTCCACCCTGGCAGGACTTTGGTCTCGCCTGGTGGGGCTGCAGGAACCGGATTAGCCGCACCCAAGGAGCGAAGGCAGATAGGGCCGAGGACGGCAAGGCCCTGCCCCTCCCAGAACTGAGATTATTACGTTGCGGGTCCATCCCTGGGAGACTGTGCCGTGGGTCACGCAAGGCTAAAGGAAGCCACCTTGCCCAAATAGAAGGACTGCCTCTCACCGACAACGGCTCTTTGCAACCTCACCAGAGCTCACTGGCGCAAGGGCCAGCCTGCTTTGCAGTCTTCGGCTTACGGCTTCCGGGTCTGCTTGACGGTCCTCCACTTACGACCACGACGGTGTCCAAGCAAGACAGCTGGTTGCGTTTTGCCCCATTTTAACCCCTTCCTTTTCTTGCCCCTTCACTGTGTCAAAAGTCAGGAACCCGGTTGTTAAGTGGATCTGGCGTCCCCATTAACTTAGCCGGTGAGGTCGCAAAAAGGGATTGTGCGACACCCCCCCCCCGGGATGCCGCGACCGTCGTAAATATGAGCCCGTTACCAAGTGTCTGAATTTTGATCACGTGACCCTGGGAATGCTGAAAATGGTCATAAGTCACTTTTTTCAAGATTGTTGTAACTTTGGACAGACAGTAAATGAACTGGTTGTAAATTGAGGGTTCTCTTATCAAATCTTGTGTGGACCGTGATCATCTCACAAATAGAACAGAAATAGAATATAGAATAACTATAGACTAGAACAGAAAATAGAATAGAATGGGAATAGAATATAGAGTAAAATATAGAACGGGAAGAGAATATAGAGTAAACTATAGAATAGAAAATAGAATTGGGAATAGAATAGAATATAGAGTAAAATATAGAATAGAAAATAGGAGAATGGGAATAGAATATAGAGTAAAATATAGAATAGAAAATAAGAGAATGGGAATAGAATATAGAGTAAAATATAGAATAGAAAATAGAATAGAGAATGGGAATATAATATAGAGTAAAATATAGGATAGAACAGAAAATAGAATATAGAATCGGAATAGAATAAAATATAGAAAATAGAATAGAGAATGGGAATAGAATATAGAGTAAAATATAGAATAAAATAGAATAGAATCAAAGCTGAAAGGGACTTTGGAGGTCTTCTAGTCCAACCCAAGTTAGCTTAGAAGCCACCTGCTTTCTGCTAAGCTGCACCCAGTCTTGGTTTGCCCACAACAGACTAGATCAAAGCCCTCCACCATTTTTTTCCCCTGAGACTTCTAGAACCTGGGTGGACCCATCTGGAGAGGGAACGAAGTGAGGCTTCTTCTATTCAGCCTGTGTGGAAATCCTTTTGGTGAAATGGGAGCTTGCCGATCCCGAGAGAAACCTCGATCAACTATTGCTGGAGATTGTCGCCCAACCCCTGAAGGCAGCCTGGTTAGATATTAACTAGATATTAACTATGTTCCAGAAACTTGTGAGTTTAATCTGCTGCCTGCCTGCCTGAGGCTTAAGAGCTTCTCAACCTCGGTGGGTGGATTTCAACTCCCAGAGAAATTCTGGGAGTTGAAAGTCCACACATCCAGGATGTGAGGATTTTAGAGGAAAAATCGCTCTAAAAAGGCAAAAACCAGAAGGCAAAATTGTTAGCTCACTCTTCGTGAAATACGTTGTTAACCAAACGTAGAATTTAAATGAGGATGGGTAAGGGTGTTTGAGAGGAAAAAGGATCTAACTGGCAATTTCCACCCCCTCCTGTAAACTGAAATGGAGCAGAATGCTAACCTGAAAATCCACATTTCAAAATTGTAATTCCTGGAGGTGCAGAGCTGGGAGATAGGACCCTGGGGATTGGGGAAGAAAAAGGAAATTTTGGGTCACACCCCGAAGTAGGAATTGATCAAACAATCTCAACCAACTCAAGGCAAGAGATTAACTGTGGGGGTCTCGGAGCTTGGTTAATTTTCTTGCAGATGTCTTGTTACCCAACTAGGTAACATTATCAGTCCTAGGTGGTGGTGCGGTGCGTGGAGTGGTGGAGGATTGCAGGGTCCCTGCTGCTTTCTGAGTTTGTGGTTTTCTGGCAGATGTTTCACGACCCAAATAGACAACTTCATCGGTGCTGGAATGAACAAAACCCTTCTAGCACTGACGACGTTACCTGGTTGGGTTGCGAAACGTCTGCAAGGAAACCGCCAAGCTCAGAGAGCACCAAGGACCCCACAGTTCAAATATTTTCCTCCATCCACAAGAGATTCACCCCCCCCAATTTTGACGCCAGCCCCTTCCTTCCCCCCCAAAGCCACGCAACTACAATGACGCGAGATGCTAAAGGTAGAACATTTTTGTTTTATTTTATTACCGAAGGTTCTTGGTGGTGCTGCTTCCATACGGTTAATTCCACCCCAACGTAGAGATGGGTGCAACTGTTTTGTTTTTTTCCACAATATTTTATTTGTACACAGTACTACAGACAAAGCACAGAGCTACTATGGCAGTTAAGAAGAGGAAGGGGGAGGAAGTCATCACGGGGAAGGGGGCTGGGGACGCAGATGCCATTCCACGCTTTCTCTCGAAAAAAAAAAAAAACGAAACAAAAAAAACACACACATGTACAGAGACCCATTTTTTAAAAAAAAACTTTTTTCTTTTGTACACACTGGAAAATGGACTAATTCTGGAAATTCGGGTCCCCATTATCCCAACCGTCGGCTGCTTACCGCCATTGTTATCCTTGAGGAGGAGAAGTGGGCCAAGAAAACCAAGGGAGATGCTGAGGAATGGAGACACCCCCTCCCCCTTAGGAATATCAACCCAAAGGTTTGGAAAGGGGGGGAGAGAGAGAGAAAGAAAGAAAGAAAGAAAGAAAGAAAGAAAGAAAGAAAGAAAGAAAGAAAGAAAGAAAGAAAGAAAGAAAGAAAGAAAGTGGAGAAAAGAAGCTGTAGCATTTGGCAAAATTCGAACAGCAGCCTGCAGGCCAGCTGTTGAGACAGGAGGGGAGAGCACCAGGCCAGGAAGATGAGAAGGTGGAGGGGGGGGGGGGAAAAAAAACAACTGGAATGGAACCAAGAAAAGGAAGGACCCCCCCAACCCCCCCAACAGTAGCACGGGGCCATTAACATGGAAGCTCCAGAGTCACTGGCACGACAGGGGACCTGGGAAGGGGAGGAGGGGGGGGTCTCACACGGGCTTGCCCTCCAAGCTGATGACGCAGTTGCCCCCCAGTTTTTCTGCTAGACTCTGGCGGTCTTTGATGTCTTCTAGGCCGTTTGCTTGCCATTCGTGCTTGATGCCTGCCAGGGAAGAGGAAGGAGAGGTGAGATGGAGGGGGTGTGTGTCTTAGGGCTGGAAGGGACCCGGGAGGTCTTACTAGAGCAGTGGTTCTCAACCTTTTTAATGCCGCGACCCCCCCCCCAACCGGTCGTAAGTCGAGGACTACTCAACCGGTCGTAAGTCGAGGACTACTCAACTGGTGCAGCACCGTTTGCAGAATGGGACTTTTGGTGGGCTCAGCAGGGCAGAGACAGCCTGGACAATTCCTATTGGCTTTTGAAAGCCAATAGAATTAGACTCTATTCAAGAGAGTCTATTCTATTGGCTTTCAAAAGCCAATAGAATAAAAGGGAGTAGCACAGCTAAGGAAAAGGGGAGAAAAAATGGCGGACTGCGTTGTTTGGCGACCCCCGTGAAATGGTCGTTCGACCCCAAATGGGGTCCCGACCCACAGGTGGAGAACCGCTGAACTAGTTGCTTCCACCTTCTACATGGTGCTTGAGTGGAACCTCAACTTGTGGACTCCAAAGCTGGAACCAGCTTTGATGTCCACAAGTCTTAAAAGCTGCCAAGGCTGGGGACCCCTGGTTCAGCGGAGTCCCCCGTCACCCCAAAGGGGACCCTTTTATGACTTGTGGACTTTCAATTCCCAGAAACCTGCTGGCACCAGCCCTGCCTCTCCCTTCGGAGGTGCTCGCTCACACCTGTAGCCTCTCACCTGGAAATTTCTTCTTGAGGGCATCCTTGGAGCTGGCGTAGATCATCTTGCTCTTTAGAGGAGCGCTCTCCGGTGCCCTACAGGGAAGAGACGGCAGCATTCACGCACCGGGTTGTGTTCCTAGCCTCCTCCCCTGCCAGCTCGCCATTTATTTTCCTTTATTAAACATTTATGCTCCCTGTTGTCTCCCTACGAGGCGACTCTCTCATGCCGTGGAAGAAGGAGGCCAATGTGAAATGTTATTCATCAATAAATCCTCCCCCCCCAGTAGCAATGGCACTTATATATCGCTTCATAGTGTTTTACAGCCCCCCCTCTAAGCGGTGGACCCAGTCAGCCTTTTGCCCCCAACAACTGGGGTCCTCGTTTTGCCGACCTCGGAAGGACGAAAGGCTGAGTCAACTTGAGCCGGTCAGGATCGAACTGCCGGCGGTGGGCAGAATTAGCCTGCGACACTGTCTTCTAACCACTGTGCCACTAGTGATGGAATAGCAATAGTCTTTAGACTTATATACTGCTTCGCGGTGCTTTACAGCACTCTCTAAGTGGTTTAGAGAGTCAGCCTACTGCCCCCAACAATCTGGGTCCTCATTTTGCCGACCTCGGAAGGACGAGTCAACCTCAAGCCAGCCAGAAGCTAATTGCTGTTCTGCAGTCAAGAAGCAATGCACCTTTAAAATGGAAGCACTTAGAGCAGGGGTCTTCAAGCTTGGCCCCTTTGATGACTCGTGGACTTCAACTCCCAGAATTCCTCTAAGTCAGGGGTCTTCAAACTTGGCCCCTTTGATGACTCGTGGACCTCAACTCCCAGAATTCCTTGCCCAGCTGTGCTGGGAGTTGAAGTCCACAAGTCATCAAAGGGGCCAAGTTTGAAGACCCCTGACTTAAAGGAAGGTGGTCTTTTGCAGCAGAACAGCAGGATGTTGTTTAGACTCTCCCCCGCGCACTCTTTTCGTCCAGGCTCCAATGGACGGGGAGCTGAGCGCGAGGCCAGCCCCAGACACCCGTCTCCAGGTCCTCAATTATACAGCTCACCCAAGTTAATTATTGTTTTCGCGCCCTGGGAGTGAAGCTACAGTCTAGAAGTCTATTCCCCAGTTACGGAGGCTGGAAGGGAGAGGCGAGCAGGGCGGGACAAAGGGACCGCCTTCCTAGAGTGCTTTAATTTTAAAGATGGGGAGGACAGCTCAATGCCCTGCAGGGCTCTTGGTGCCAATAGGGGAGGGGGGCCAGTCGTGGTCCGCATCCCAGCTCGCATGCAGATGGGAGGAAAGTAACTTCCTGGATGGCACACGGCCAAGCAGCTTTGATTGCAGAAAAAGCAAGCCACCAATTCAGATAAGAGGCTGGGGGTGAGACAAGGAGGCACTCCAGCCAGCTCAGGCCCCTGAAAGCAGGCTTGGTTGAATTGCCATCGGGAAAGCTCCCGAAATAGGGAAGAAAGCAGCTTCTCTGCTCAGAGTATTCAGCCTTCAGTCACCAAGGGTCTGGGGGGAGGGGAAGTTGGCCATACCTGAAGCTGCCAGGGAAGGAAGGAAGGAAAGAAGGAAGGGGGAGGGAGAGAGGAAGAAGAGAGGAGAAAGAGAAGGAAGGAGAAAGAGTAAGGAAAGAAGGAAGGAGAGGGAGGGAGGGAGGAGAAAGACAGCAAGGAAGGAAGAAAGAAAGGAGAAAAGGGAAGGGAGGAGAAAGAGCGAGGAAGAGAGAAGGACAAAGAGAAGGAAGAAGAAAGGAGAAAGAGGGAGGAAAAAGAGAGTAAGGAAGGGAAAGAGAAGGAAGGAGAAAGAGAGCAAGGAAAGAAAGAAGAGGGAGAAAGAGAGCAAGGAAGGGAAAGGGAGGAAAAAGAGAGTAAGGAAGGGAAAGAGAAGGAAGGAGAAAGAGAGCAAGGAAGGAAGGGAAAGGGAGGAAAAAGAGAGTAAGGAAGGGAAAGAGAAGGAAGGAGAAAGAGAGCAAGGAAGGAAGGAGAAAGGGAGGAAAAAGAGAGTAAGGAAGGGAAAGAGAAGGAAGGAGAAAGAGAGCAAGGAAAGGAGAGGGAGGGAGGGAGAAAGAGAGCAAGGAAAGAAAGAAGAGGGAGAAAGAGAGCAAGGAAGGAAGGAGAAAGGGAGGAAAAAGAGAGTAAGGAAGGGAAAGAGAAGGAAGGAGAAAGAGAGCAAGGAAAAGAGAGGGAGGGAGGGAGAAAGAGAGCAAGGAGGAAGAAAGAGGGAGGAAAAAGAGAGTAAGGAAGGGAAAGAGAAGGAAGGAGAAAGAGAGCAAGGAAAGAAAGAAGAGGGAGGGAGGAAGGGAGGGGAGAGGAAGAAAGCCTCACCAGAAGAGGAAGACCAGGTCTTCCTTTTTGCTCTCCTTGGTTTCGTAGGTGGCGTCGTAGAGGGCGTAGCGACAGTCGCTGGGGGGCAGCAAGGCGACGAAGTGCAGGTAGGGGTCGTCGACGGTGTCTCCCAGGTCGCCCACCAGGATCTCCTTCCCCGCCTCCAGGATGATCTTCTTCTTGTCCTCGCTCAGGCAGAAGATGACGGCCTTCTTGCGCTTCTTCTGCTCCTCCTGGGGGGCGTGTTTGCGCACCTTCATGTCATTGAAGACCTGGATGACTTTGTCACAGACGGTGACCCCAGAGGCCTGTGCGGGGGGGGGGGGGGGAAAGAGACCAAGGGGAGACACGCTCAGCGCCGGCCCCCGCGAGGCTGCCACAACAGGCAGTCAGAGCAGGGCGATGGGTGGAACTTCAACTCCCAGAATCCCCTAGTAGGTAGTCAACTTACACCGAGTTAGCGACCGTTTAAAGTTAACCACGGCATGGGGAAAAATGCCACTTAGGACCCCTTTTCATATTTATGACTCCTGCAGCGCACACACACAACCACGGTCATTGGATGAAAACACAGGCCCTCGGCAACCGACATGCATTTATGACAGTCGCAGCATCCCGGGGTCACGCCATCGCCATTCGCAGCCGGTTTCTGACCAGCAAATGGGGAAAGCTGCATTCCCTTAACACCTGCAGTGATTCGCTTAACGGCCAGGTTTTTTTTTTTAAAAAAGGGGTGGTAAAATAAAACGTTAACCATGGAAATTCTAGCCTCAATTGTGATCACAAGCGGTTGAGCTGTACAAGATTACTACAGGCAATAAAAACCAGTGGGAGATTGCAGGCACGGGCTAGGTTTTTAAGTCATGGTTTGCTAAACCAGGTTTACTGAACAAGCCATTGATCAGAAGATTCCCGTTAATACGCTAAGCTAGAAGCCACAGCTGACAGCTACCAGTAGGGAGCTCTCTTCAAATGCTCTACCCTATTTCACAGAATATTTCAATATTTGAGGGGCTGCCCCACAGAGGAGGGGGGTCAACCCATTCTCCAAAGCACCTGAAGGCAGGACAAGAAGCAACGGATGGAAACTAAGCAAGGAGAGAAGCAACCTGGAATTAAGGAGAAACTTCCTGACAGTGTGAGGACAATTAACCAGTGGAACAGCTTGCCACCAGAAGTGGTAGGTGCTCCATCACTGGAGGTTTTTTAAGGCAGCCATGTGTTCGAAAGGGCACAGGATCTCCTGCTTGAGCAGGGGGTTGGACTAGAACAGTGTTTCTCAACCTTGACCATTTTAAGGCATGTGGACTTCAACTCCCAGAATTCCACAGCCAGCCTTGGACTAGAAGACACCCCCCCCCAGGTCCCTTCAGATTGAGATACCAAGACAAGGGTTGGATTGCCACAAAAGGCTGCACCACCCCTGCTCTGCCACCTCCTTTCCACTGAGTACCATTTGGGCAAACCTCGGCCCGGCGGTATCAATGGCGCCGAGTATTGCTAGCTGTGAAAAGGGAACTGATCAACCGAGATCTCAAAAGTCCCTCTGTAGAATACCCATTTCAGGACAGCAGCGGCTGAGTTTCGCACAAGGTGTTAGGCTGGGCTAAAAAGAGGGATCGGGCTATTTGTTCTTCGGGACAGGAGCCCGGCCAATCGAAACGACGGCAACCAGGCCACAGAACGTCACGGCTTGTGTGTTTAGGCACTTGCCTGTCGAGGCAGCTCCCCAGCCGTACACCCAGGGGGCATCGTCGTGATTAGAGAGGCCAGGGAAAGTTTGAAGAGTCTGCTCAGGAAACCCAGCAGGATGAAAGGGGTGGCTGGAAGCCAGCTCCACCAAAAGTCTCAACCTCTTTCATTAAAAGCAAAGACTTTTTCACAAGGACCGGCTGAAGAGAGAAGCTCCCAGCCTCACGAGAAGCGCGATCCAGGGCAAAGTCAGGGGAAGAGGAGGCAGGAGAGCTGGGCGTGGCACTAGCCGAGAGAGGAAGGAAGGAAGGAAGGAAGGAAGGAAGGAAGGAAGGAAGGAAGGAAGGAAGGAAGGAAGGAAGGAAGGAAGGAAGGGAACCGCTGACAATTAGCAATTTAGCAATCCCGTCTTCCAGATTCCGGGGGGGGGGGGAAGATCAGCCCAATGCATAGCTTGCTGGGGAAGGAAAATTACAGGCCGAAGAAAAGAGCAGGTGGCCCAAAGAAGCCGCCAGCTCAGCAGATGGGTGCTCAGGGCTGCAGAAGGGGAAGTGGCGCCCTGCTGCAGAGAGGGGGGGGGAGGCAGAGGCTGGCAAACGGGCAGCTGCAAAGAGAGCGTGAGGTGGAGGCAAAGAGGCACGGGGAGAAAAATTCAGGAGGGCAGAGTTGAGAGGAGGGAAGCCTGCGGGGGGGGGGGGTTCCCCCAAGCACAGAACATAAGAATTATATGGCTGGAAGGGACCCTGCTAGCCCAACCCCCCCCCTCAACCAAGAAGCAAAGGGGAGCACTGAAAGGCAGGAGAGAAAATAAGGGAGGGGGGTCAAGCAAAGAGAAAGGCCACTCAAAGGGGTCTTTTGGCAGGCTGGTGGGGGGGGGAAAGAGGGAGGGATGCAGGTGTAGAATTGATGCAGGGAGAGGGAAGAATGGGGGGGAGAGTCCAGAAACAATAGTACAGCTATGCAGCAATTCCATACACGTCACACTTTGTTCTCCTAAACACCCAGAGGGATATTCTGCATTTATTTTCCCTTGCTCATATATGGAAGTTGGAACTTGTGATTCCTGGAAAGGTACAGAGACTACAGTCCCCATCAATAGCGGAGAACTGGGGAGGGACTCACATTCTTCCACGCGCATCACACAGTGCAGGGCTACGTCCCCTCCACTTGTGACAGGGCCTGCAGTTCCCATCATCCCCTCCCACAGCACAGCAGCCGGCCCACACCGACCGGAAAGGACTCTCTCGATCATGCTGGCCCATGTTCCTCTCCTGCCTCCATGGTACAGCACAGCCCTTTAAGCGCAGGCGTGCAAAGACAAACGGGAGAGGGGGGGGGGGAAATCCTTCTCAGGCAATGTGTTGGCTGGGGATAATGAGCCCCTTGTCTTCCAGCCATCTTGGGGAGGCCAATGAATCCCAGGGCTGGAGGTGGACAATGCCTTGGGAGGGTGGGGTGGAAATAGGGGGGAATACACCGCAAAGCCCCCAAACTGCCCAACTAGCGGGGCTAGTGTCCTGGCAAAGGGGAGAAAACTAGGCAACAATAAAAAAATGAGAATTTGAGGGGGGGGAAATAGGAGTTTTTTCCTCCCCCTTTGTAAAGACTAAGGGGGGGAGGGAATGAAGCCATTAGAGGGTGCATTGGGGTTTCAGGGTCTTCCCAATATTTAGGCAGCAAGAAAAAGGTGGAAAAAAAGGACAACTTGGGGTCACCAAATGAAATCCAACAGGAAATTGGGGGAGAGTAAAGATGAGGATAAGGAAGGGGGGGAAGAAAGAGAAATGGGGTGATGGGGTTGCATTCTGGCTTCTCCCCCCCCCAAATCCAGGGAGGCATTAGGGCAGCTGGGTTAAGGGGGGGGAGAAAGCATCATCAATGGGCAGGGAGAGAATTCCTTCCTTCTAAGGTGGGGGGGCACAGAAGGGGCCATGAGGATACATGTCCCCCCATGTTTGGAGGGAGGGGGAAGGAGACCACCCCCAAATTGGGTGGAAGAGAATAGACTGGAGAATAAGATGGGGGAGGAGGCACAAAAGCCATGAGGATACTCCTTCAGTTCCCCCCCCACACACGACTTGCAAGTTGGGGGGGAGAAAGGAGACCCCCCCAGACACACAAATTGGGAGGAGTTATCAATGGGGGGGAGAATCGTCCCTTCTAAGGTGGGGGGTCATGAGGATACTCCTTCAGCCCCCCCCGAACTGCAGGGTGTGTGTGTGGGGGGGGAAGAAAGCAGCCCCCTCCCCAAATTAGGAGAAACCGGTCTGGGGGGGGCTGTGAGAGAAAAGGCACTGAGGAAGAAGATGGGGGGGCACAAAAGAGTTTCACAGACGCCCTGGGCCCTGACCTACAGGGTAGGGGGGGGCAAGGAAGGAGACCCCCCCCAGAAGTTGGGAGAAGCAGCTCCAAGGGGGGGAAAGAGGGAAAAGGCCCCGGGAAAGGGGATATTGGGGGGGGGGCTTGAATGAAACGCCCTCAGGGAAGCCAAGATAGGGATGCCCACTCTACTTGGGGGGGTATAACGGCCTCCCCCCCGGCGCCTCCCCGAGGAAGCCCCCACAAAATGGCGGCCGGCAGACAAGATGGCGGCCTAACGTGCGGGGGGGGGGTTGGAGAGGGGGCGAGCGGCGGGTCTTACCATGGCGCCGGGCGGGCGAGGGGGGACAAGGACGAGGCGGCGAAGAGAAGAGGGAGGCGGCGAAGAGAAGAGGGAGGCGGCGGAGGCGGCGGTGCTCTCGGCGGTCCGGGCGGCTTCCTGGCCTCGTCAGCTCCGCGGCGGCTTCGACTGGCGGCTGCGCGTCTGCCGAGGCCCGAAAGGAACTGCGGCCCCGCCCCGCCTTGGCCCTTCCGCTTTAAGGCACCGCCCGAGGAGGAGCCTCTTCCGGTCCGGAGGCGCACGGCCTGCCGGGAAAGCGAGTCTCTCCGCCTTCTTTCCGTGCCGCTGTCTCCCTGCGGAGGAATGGCGGCCGGGCGCGTGAAGGGGGCGTGGTTGCCATAGAAACGGGAGGCCTTCTCATTTCCTTCCTGCCGGGCGCAAAAAAACCCCCGCGAACTATTGTTATTTTTTTTAAAAAATCAATCAATCATTATGTATATTGGTCCCGTCGGGAATAGCTAAAAACATAAAACGAGCTATCTTTTGTCCCCGCGCCTTTTCTCCTCGTGGGCTGTTGAAAAGGCTCATGGGAAGTTCGCCTCTTCGCCCGGGGGTGCATGGGAAGTGTAGTTTGAAGACAGTGGAAAGGGAGGAAGGAAGAAGAGAAACTGGGGGAGAAAGTGAATTAATGAGATTTTTTTTTTTTTTTAGACAAGATAATCTTTATTGTCATTTTTTTTTTTACTGTGGGCACAAATGGCACACATCAAAAATGAAATTTAGTTGCCCACTCTCAAAGTGAAACATATACATGACACACACCTAAAACATACGATATACAACATAGGTATAGACCCACATCCCTACATATACATAACAAATAAATATTTTTTTTAAAGGAGGGAAGATGTCACTTGAGGCTTATTTTGGAAATTAAAGACTTTCTGGATTATCTGCCAAATTAATTCCTAAATCTTCCATGTAAGATGCACAGCTAAGCTGGTGCAGAGCCTTCCAATGGCCTTTTCCTTGCTAAATAGTGCTTGGTCTGATCCCAATCCCGCTTTACAAAATTGAAATGGAGAAAAGAGGGAAAAAATGTTTTATTTTTCTTCCGTATGTTTGTTCGACTTTTGTTCGACTTTTTCTCCCAACTTGATTTTGCAGTTCAAGAGGTCAAACCTTCTCTTTTAAAATTACACTATAAATAAGAACCCCCCAAAAAGGGGAAAGGCAGCTTCAAAAATCATAAAACGTTTTTTAAAAAACTGTTGGGGTTGAGCTCCAAAAATGCAAGAGCCTTTTTTAAAAACATAAAATGTCAAAAGGAAGTAGGCTTTTATTGATTGGCTGATTAGCAATTTTTATCACTACAGGACCACAACTTTCACTGCGGCAAGAGCCGAAAAACCAGCTTCTGCATTGGCCCACCATTGCTTCAAAAGGAAAGCACTTCGCTAATGCTTAATCCAAATTAAATTGTTTTCCAGGTTGCCTTGAAGCCTAAATGAAGAAAACAGGCTGGGCTGGCAGAGGAAAGAAAAAAAAAAACCCTGATCAAGATAACTCTAATAGCTTGTTTTGCAAATGCATTTTGTAGGTCTTTTGCAGTGAGTACAGATGATTCACAGCTAGTCCTCAACATACGACCACAATTGAGCCCAACATTTCTGTTGTTAAATGAGACATTTGTTACATGAATCTTGCCCCATTTTACGACCTTTCTTGACACCATTGTTAAGTGAATCATTGCAGCTGTTAAATTGGTAACCTGATTGTTAAGTGAATCTGGCTTCCTCCATTGACTTTGCTTGTCAGGTCACAAAAGGAGATCACATGATCTTTGTATACAGTGACAATTATCATCATCATCATCAAGTTGGAAGGGACCTTGGAGGTCATCTAGTCCAATCCCCTGCTCAGGCAGGAAACTCTATACTATTATAGACAAATGGCTGTCCAGTCTCTTCTTAAAAACGTTCAGTGTTGGAGCATTCACCGCTTCTGGAGGCAGGTTGTCCCACTGGTTAATTGTTCTCACTGTCACGAAATTTCTCCTTAGTTCTAGGTTGCCTCTCTCTTTGGTTAGTTTCCACCCGTTGCTTCTTGTCCTGCCTTCAGGCGCCTTGGAGAATAGCTTGACTCCCTCTTCTTTGGGGCACCCCCTGGGATACTGGAACAGTTGTAAGGCAAGGACGGCTTGTACTTTTTGGAGAGGGGGAAGAGCGAAGCGGGAACGGACTCTGACAGCTACTGGGTATCATAAATTAAAAGAATAAATAAATAGAAAAGATGAATATCTTTTTCACCCATTGCTTTAACTGGGTTAGAGAATACGGATTTTCTGGAGATGTTTTGCCAGAGCAATGGGTGAAAAGCTGGCCACAATGACGAGGGTTGGCCACAATCCAGTATATATATGCAACTAAATCAGCTCTCCAACGCTCCAGTGCTTGAGGGGAGAAAGCTTGAAAGGTATAGAAAGATAGAAAGAAAGGCCGCAGCTTTGCAGCTCTGAACCCTTTTTGCAAAATCCCCCACAGCCTGCTAAGAGAATTTAAAGGGGGGGGGAAGGGAGGGGGGTAGAGAGAGAATTACTAGATTTTATTTTGGAAAAGGAAAAGCAACAGACATTCTTTGAGAGAGAGAGAGAGAGAGGGAGGGAGGGAGTAGGCACTCATAAATTATATGCCCTTTTTAGGGGAAAAAAAAAAGACAGAGAAAAAAGTTCTGGTTTGCCAGCAGGAAAATTGCCCACTGTAAAAAGCCGTTGAAGCAGGAACAAGCATACCCCAAATACTTTTGGGCTCTGTCTGAATTCACAAAAGCCCTGCTTAACATCAGCTGCGTTCCCACCATCCAGCTTTATCACTCTGTTGGGGTTTCCTTAGTTACTTCTCCTTTTTCTCCTTTGACGCTCCACCCTTCTTTGAACCAGGATAAAAGAGCAGGGGGTGGGTGGGCATTGAAGAATGGTGCTTTGACCAAGATACCCCCAGCGTCTGACCATCTCTTAACCTGGTTCAAGGCTCAGCCACTGGAGCCGCACGCACAAGCAGGCTAACCTTGCACGGCTCCAATCTTGGGTACTTTCAAGATGTTACAGCAAAGCCAAGCCAGCCAGCAGGCTTGGTTCCTTGAGGGCTGAGTCTGTTCTCTGAAACCAAGAAGTGGGGTAATTGAGGAACCGAGTTGGAGGTATTTGAGCCCTGCTGTGCAATCATTTATTTCCTAAGCTACAGCCTCTGCTTGGTTTATGAGTCTGGGATTTTCCACTCTGTTTTGGTCACTCTCTTCTCTCTGCTCTGCTCTTCTCTTCCCCTCCCTCTCCTTTCCACTTCCTTCCCTTCCCTTTCTCTTCCTTCCCTCCCCCTTTCTCCTTTCCTTTCCTTTTTTCCCCTTCCCTTCCTTCCCTCTTCCCTTCCACTCTTCTCTTCCTTCCCTTCCCTTTCTCATCTTTCCCTTTCCTCCCTCTTCCTTCCCTTTCCCTTTGTTCCCTTCCCCTCCTCTCCTTTCCTCTCCCTTCCCCCTTTTTCTTCCTTCCCTTCCCTCCCTCTTCCTTCCCCTCCCTTCCCTCTTCCTTCCCTTCCCTTATTCTATTCAACCTGCTTCTATTCTCCCCTCCCCACCCCCACACTTCCTTTGTTTCAGCAATCTATATTCACATGGGGAAGGGGCAGCCTTTGGACTTGGGGGTTTTGCTACAGGTAAACAATTGGGGCTCCACCGCAGAACAAGAAGAGCAGCCTTCTCCCCACCTTCTGGCTCACCCACTCCAAGGCAGAAAGCTGCAACCTACAGTTCATTTTTTAATCTGCTGCTGCACAAAGAAAAGAAGGGAGGGGGCAGAGCTGGTGGAAGGAAGCTCTGATCCCCTTTGTTAAGATCACTACAGTTTTCTAAATAGGGGGTCTCCCCAGTGGAGAGATTAGCACCCCTGTTCTTCCCCACCTTGGCAAAAGGCTCATAGACTCCAAGCACAGAATAGAAATCGATTACACTGTATGTTGTTTTTTTTTTTTAAAAAAAGCAGAATTCTCACTGTCCAAGCAGAGATGGGAGAAAGAATACCGTTTTATACCTTGAGGCCAAAATTGAAATGCTGCCTCCAGTTCCGGTCACCACGATACAAAAAAAAAGAGGTTGAGACTCTGGAAAGAGGACAGAGAAGAGCAATAAGGATGATTAAGGGGCTGGAAAATAAAACATATAAAGAACAGTGGCAGGAATTGGGTAAGTCTGTGTCAAAGAAAGGAGGACTTTGTATGCTCCTTCAGCTTGTGCGGAAATAAACATGGCTTATTGATTAATAAATGAATATCTGGAACACCTTATACGGGCAAGTCCTCCCACTTGCCACAACGGAACCCAAAACTTCCATTGCTAAGCAAGTGAATTTTGCCCCCCTTTACGACCTTTCTTGCCATCGTCGTTAAGAGAACCACTGCGGCTGACAAGTTACTCACACAGATGTTAAGTGAATCTGGCTTCCCCCAGGGCAGTTGTAGGCAACCTTGGCTCTTTTAGGACTGGTGGACTTCAACTCCCAGAATTCCTGAGCCAGCCATGCTGAGGGGACAGGGAGAGGTTTCCAAGCTAAGCCAGGCTGGCTAAGGAATTCTGGGAGTTGAAGTCCACAAGTCACGAAGGGGCCATAGTTCCCCCATGCTGGCTCAGGAATTCTGGGAGTTGAAGTCCACAAGTCATGAAGGGGCCATAGTTCCCCCATGCTGGCTCAGGAATTCTGGGAGTTGAAGTCCACGAGTCATGAAGGGGCCATAGTTCCCCCATGCTGGCTCAGGAATTCTGGGAGTTGAAGTCCACGAGTCATGAAGGAGCCATAGTTCCCCCATGCTGGCTCAGGAATTCTGGGAGTTGAAGTCCACAAGTCATAAAAGAGCCAAGGTTGCCTACCCCTGCCCCAGGGACTTTGTCAGGTCGCAAAAGGGGATCATGTGACTGAAACAGTCATAGATGTGAGTCAGTCTGAATTTTGATCGTGTGAAAAACGGTCATGTCAATTTTTTTTGGTGCCGGTCACTAAATGAACTATTGTAAGCAGAGAACTACTTGTATTAAGTTCCTTCTTTCTCACCGATGGCTGGAGAGAGTGTTCGGCCCCACCATCGCCCTGTTGGAACTCAATTCAACCAGGCAACTGTCTGAATGTGCCCCACAGGCCAACCTTTGGCACGTGGGGTGAAGCCAGCCCATATTATGGGCCCATGAATTGCTTCATTGTGCAACGGCAGCGAAACGGAGGCGGCCTCGCTGTTGGGAGACGGGACTTCTGTGGGCAGAGAGGCTGAAGGAACTTTTAAATTTCTCCTTCCATTCATTCCTTTTATCGACTCTCCCCCCCCCCTCTTTTGTGCATGCCCAAGAAGGTATAACTGTCAGGGAGACCTTGGGGTTTTTTCAGTTTTTCCTTCCTGAAACACCGCTAAAAATAAAAAGAGAACAAACAGACGCAGCCAAGGAGCGAGGGCAAAAAAAAAAAACCCACACCCATTGCTGTTTGATCAAAAGTGATTTCCTGGTGGTGCTGGATTCTTTCATGGGGATCTTATCCGCCCGCCCTCAGTCTTGGTTGCAAAAAATTAAGTTTTGCTGCACTCCTGCTGAGCCAGGTGATGCAAGATTTGGGCCCCCTCCTACAAAACAGGACTTTGTTTCAGAAAAAGCAAGATTCCTCCTGGGCAACACACCTCCTGAGTTGTGAGTCCCAAGCATCACAAAAAAAAAAAAAAGACAGGCTTGGCTGCTCATGCCCCCCCCCCCAGGCTGCCCCATGTATCCTCCTTGGATGCTGGAAAAGCACCAAGGAACCGTGCAGCTAAATGCAAACTGCTATAAGAGGAAAGCTGCGTTCACACAACGCTTGTTTTCCCCTGGCTCTTTCCCCGGATCTGGTTCAGAAGGTCGTGTGAACCCAGGCCGGCCCGCCTTCCCATCCCACCCACCCGCGGCGCGCTCTTCCTCATTGCAATTGTGCAAAAAAAGCACCGGGTGGGCAGAAGTGTGTGGAAGTGGGGGGGCTGTTGCGCAACCGGCACGCCGATGTTGTGCAACCCGGAAAGCGGGCAGGCGAAGGGGGGGGAAAGCGCTTAGCCCAGCCCGGGGCAAAGGCTGGCTGGCTGGAGCGTCGGGCGAGCGCAGGACCGGAAAAACAAAGCGGGGCCGGGCGAGGAAGACGCGCGCGCTCGCCTCCCCCTCTTCCTCTCCGCCAGGCTGCGAAGCGAGTCCAAATAAGGTGGTGATGGAGCCCCGGCAGCGCCGCCCGCCCGCCCCGCAGCCCGATTTGCCCTTATATGGGCATCTGCAGCCAGGGCGCGGAGGAGGCGCAGCGCCTGGCACGCGGGCGCCCTCCGGCCGCATCGCCCGGGTAGCGCAGTCCGGCCGGAGGGCGAGGGAAGGGGGGCAGGACAGCGCCCGCTGCGGATGTGACTGCAAAAGGATGGAGAGTTGGAGGGAAGAAGAGGGGGATGGATGCATGGATGGATGGAGAGAGGGATGGAGGGATGGAGGGATGGAGAGACAGAAGGAGGGAGGGTTGGAGGGAAGGAGAGAGGGATGGATGCATGGATGGAGAGACGGATGGAGAGAGGGATGGATGGATGGATGGATGGGTGGGTGGGTGGGTGGGTGGATGGATGGATGGATGGGTGGGTGAATGGATGGAGAGACAGAAGGAGGGAGGGTTAGAGGGGAGGAGAGACGGATGGATGCATGGATGGAGAGACGGATGGAGGGATGGATGGAGAGAGGGATGGAGGGATGGATGGATGGAGAGAGAGAGGAATCATAGATGCATGGATGGAGAGACAGATGGAGGGAGGGATGGATGGATGGAGAGAGGGAGAGAAGGAGGGAGAGAGAGAGAGGAATGATGGATGCATGGATGGAGAGACGGATGGAGAGAGGGATGGAGGGATGGATGGAGAGAGGGATGGAGAGAGAGAGGAATCATAGATGCATGGATGGAGAGACAGATGGAGGGAGGGAGGGATTGAGAGAGGGATGGATGGATGGATGGAGAGAGGAATGATAGATGCATGGATGGAGAGACGGATGGATTGAGAGATGGATGGATGGATGGAGAGAGGGATGTAGAATTTAAAAACTAGCCCCTCCTCCAAAACCCTGAATGCTAATAATAATTGATCCTGAATTTAGAAAAATAAGATTTTTGTTTTGTTTTGTTTAAGCAGAAGAGTGCATTTTTTTCAGAGATCAGATTGGGGGCAAACAAAGGTGGTGAATTTTGGCCAAGCTGACGGAAAGCGTTCCTGACGCGAAGTCAAGCATGTTAGCCTACTGTATATTAATAAATGGGAAATAGAAGGAGACACTGGGCAGGTTTACCTGGAGAAGAGAAGGCTGCAGGGGGAGCTGACAGCTGTCTTCGTAGCTGTCTGAAGGGCTGCCATGTCAAAGACGTGGTGGACTTGTTCAGACCTGTTTCAGAAACCAGGAGAAGAAACCAGGTTAAATTACAAGGAAGGCGATCTGGGTGGGACATCCACAAGAACTGCTTCAGGGGAAGAGCTGTTCGCCGGTGGAACTGCCTGCCTCAGGAGATGGTGGCTCTTCCATGGATGGAGGATCTTGAACAGAGGCTAGATGACGCTCACAGTCATCTGAACTGCAAGATGGGCCCAAATAAGTTTGCTTAAGAAACAAACGAACAAAAAACCATCCATCTTTTCAAACCCACAAGCAGATTTCGCTCTTATTTTTATTTTTCGCTCTGCTTGATAACATTTCCCCCAAATTACTTCATGGGTTAAGCAGAGCTGGAGGAACACCAATGGATGCCCTGAGCAGAATGCACCGAGGGTATCTCTGCAACACAAGCCAAAATCTCATGCCAGGAGATGGTGATAAATCTAATTTCTTAGCAACATCTTCTGACCAAACTTTTAAACTTTAGTCATTGCCCAAGCTGAAGAAAACATTTTATCTAAACAATGCAGATGAAAATCGAACAGGGCAAGGCGGCCAAATATGGGAAAATTCAACTAAAGTTGGGCAGGGCTGTGAAAGAGTTAAAGGCATAATTACTGGGAGGGGGAAAAAATGGGGTGCCCCTCCTTATGCGGTAAACAGGGGCTTAGTTTTCTTAATGATTAATCCAGGGCTGGCTTTAAATGCCAGCTTTTTCACCCAAAATACAAATTGCAAACGGAGGGTAGAGATTAAGGCACTAAATCAGATCAAAGGCCGATTGAGTCTAACATGCTGTTTTGGTAATAGTAGAACTAGTTTAAAAGCTGGTTAAAGCATAACTAATCTGTTGCACGGAAGCCAGAAAAGTCTGTGGGGAAGCAGAAAGATTTATCCATTTAAAATGTTTGGAGTAATATTTCTTATTCATATTTTTTTCAATGAAAATGATCTTTTAGCTGGCGATGGGAAAGAAAGCTCTCTGCTGAAATGCAGAATATAAATAGATTTACTATTATTATGAATAGGAACAAACTGCTACGCTTTTAACCAAATTAAGAAGCTTAGCTGGAGACTGATCCACCTAAAAAAACTGCCGATTCCATCAAACTGTTACTGCTTGTCCAGAATATTGATCATTGTGCATATAAGCGCCAATATTTTGACAATACACAAGTAATATTCGGTGCAGAGACATTAGCATCTGAAGCAGGAGTTTTACTTCCAATAGGAGAGCAATGTCTGCAAAAATATTTGATGAAGAGAATGTGCTTTTTATCATTTTGGAGCAGAGAATAGCTTTGTGCTTTTAGATTATGGCCAGACATGTTTACACAAAGTAGCTACTTTATATTTATTTTCCTAGACATCTTAAAAGCAGTTGCCCATCCTAAATATTGTACATCACTCTAGCCAGTGTTTTTCCATCTTGGCAACTTTAAGGACACGTAGATTTCAATTGTCAGAATTTCCCTAGCCAACATGCCTTAAGCAGTGTGACCTGATTTCCAGAATTCCCATTTTGACCAGGGAATTCTGGAAGTAAAATTCACCCATTTTAAAAGTTGCTGAGGTTGAGAAACACTGACTTAAAGGACTGAAATAATTACCAAGGGTCTGTTTCCCAGAATGCCCCAATGTGGGAGCTGCTGGGGAATTCTAACAGTTGAAGTCCATACACCCTAAAGCAGGGGTCTTCAAATTTGGCCCTTTTATGACTTGTGGACTTTTAACTTCCTGCCTGGCTGAATTCTGGGGGTTGAAGTCCAGAAGTCATAAAAAGGCCAAGTTTGAAAACCTCTGCACTAAAGATTGGAAAAAAAAAACTGATTTAAAATATTCCAAATAAGACTGGAGAGGACAGTTAAGGACGGATTTCTGACACTTTGTTTTGCACTGTTTGCTTTACACATAGGGCAACAAACGCAATAAAATATTGAATTATTCTCTGCAAAGACCAATTTGGGGAGTTGAGGAAATGAGATGTTCAAACGACAGCCTCTCTATATTTCTATCTCTATGGCTTCCTCCGAAGAGGCACCACGCACGAAGCGCTACGCAATCGGCGGACAAACTGCGCCTGCGCCGATGCTGCAGCGGACAGCCGCTCTGCCCCCTTGCAACTCTTTGGTGCAAGAGCCCGACGATTTCCCTTTTTTAAAAGAACGAGAGCGCGAAAAGGAGAGAAAACGGGGGAAAAAACCGGCGGCGGGCTTTGAAACATGCCGAAGCCGCCGCAGGAAGGCCCGAACCCTTTATTTACGCGATGGCTGCAAGAATGGCGCGACCAGGCCGCGGAGAGCGGCCGTCTGAAGAGCCAACGCGCTTATGAACGGGTAAGCCCCGCCCACAGAGGCAAGCCCCGCCCACAGAGGCAAGCCCCGCCTCAAAATGAATGCGTCTATTAATCCTGCAATAATGAGAAAAAGTCTTCATATAATAGCCGTTAGAATAATTATTAGAAAAATAATGACAATAAAAATGCAATAATTAACCCAGCTTTTGGTATAATGCCGTTTGCAATAGTTGTTAGTATAGTGATCAATACAATCATGCAGGAATTAGCATTATCTAATATACAATTAGCTTAATAAGAGCAGAACTTTGCATGTGAGATTAACGTAACTAGTCAGTCGAGACTACAGGCAGTCCTCGATTTACGACCACAAGTGAGCCCAGGATTTATGTTGCTAAGTGAGACATTTGTTAAGTGAGTTATGACTGTCATAAACATGAGTCAGTTGCCAAGCATCTGAGTGTACATCACGTGATCATGGGGTCGTAAGTGTGAAAAACGGTCCTAAGTCACTTTTTCCAGCATGGCTGCAACTTCGGTCACTAAAGAAGCTTGTAAGTCGAGGACCACCTGGCCTCTGTAAAGTCAGGATTAAAAAAAAAAAATCTATTAAAAATGACTGTCTTGAGTTAAGCAACATCTCATTCCTGCTCTGGGCCCCCAATTTATCTGACATTTCTCTGTCGTGCGCAGGCGCTGAGCTCTCTCCGCAAATATCCCCTCCCTTTGCGCAGCGGCTGTGAGGCTCGGATCCTGATGTATTTTGGGGAGAAGATCTGCCGTCAGCTGGATGAACAGCTGGAGAGACACCGCAGCACCCAGGACGCTACAGCGCTGGCCGGTATGGAAGGAGAGAGGCCTGGAGTCACTACAGGTAGTTCTCAACTTGCCTGGCTGAGGAATTCTGGGAGTTGAAGTCCACAAGTCAGAAAAGGGCCAGGTTTGAAGACCCCTGGTCTACCTCAAAGCTCAGAAGCTTCAGTTGAAAGAGTTTGTCATATGCCTTCCAGGTGGGCCAATCCCAACTTCTCCGTGGAAAAGTTGTGAAGATGTGGACCATCCAACTTCCAGCGACAGGCCGGTGTTACAACCAGCTCAGCCCTCTCTGGAGCCAGTTGAACATCAAGAGCAATGCTCAAAGTTGAGACCGTTGGTATGGATAACATTCCTCCATTCGTTTTGGGACCGTTTGCATCGTTTTGTGCGTGCAGGTGACTCTGGATGGACAGGGGAGCGGGGAGGAGAGAATTCAGAGTCACCTGAATCCTGAGACAGGCAGCAAATACATTTTATATATAACAGTAGTAAAGAGAATAGAATTCTTTATCGGCCAAGCGTGACTGGGACACACAAGGAATTTGTCTCCGGTGTATAAGCTCTCTTCTTTGTGTCAGCCCCTCAAATATTGGAAGATTGTTATCAGAATGACAGAGTTGGAAGGGACCTCGGAGGTCATCTAGTCCAACCCCCTGCTCAGGCAGGAAACCCATTTCAGACAACTGGTTGTCTAATCTCTTCTTAAAAGCCTCCAGTGGGAGGGAGGGAGGAAAGGAAGGAAAGAAGGAAAAACGAATACCAGAATAATGAAGTAGGAAGGGATCTTGGAGGTCATCTAGTCCAACCTCCTGCTCAGGCAGGAAACTCTAATACCATTCCAGACAAATGGCTGTTCAATCTCTTCTTAAAAGCCTTCAGTGGTGGAGCACCCACAACATCCGGAGGCAAGCCATTCCACTGGTTAATTGTTCTCGGTTGGTTCTCGATAGATAGGTGGGCCTAAAGCCAGATTCATAACTGTGTTACTAACTTAACAACTGCGGTGACTCATTTAACAAGCGTGGCAAGTCTAAACATCAGGCTGACTATGCAACAAACCACAACGATATCCAAACTATCGAAAAAGACAGGTCTGGATTTCTTTTTCTTTTTTTTCTTTCCAGAAAAAGCAGACTGTTCCACGGCAGCGGGCCCGGACTTACATGCCAACTCGGCGTTCTCCGGCTTATGCGGTTCTGTTGGCACTCTACAATCACACCGTGGTAAGATACAGCGGGTGCCAGCCCTGTGGTCTGCAGAACCGTTTCAGGGCTGAATCGGCTGATTGCAAAGCAGCTGATTCGATTCTATTTAGATTCTGATTCGATTCCAGTTAGATTCTACTTAGAGGTAGTCCTTTTGACTTGCAAATATTCGTTTAGTGACCATTTAAAGTTACAAAGGCACTGAAAAAGGGGCCTCGCACTTAACAACTGTGGCAGCATCCCCGTGGTCACCTGATCCAAAATTTGGGGGCTTGGGAACCTGCGTGAATTTATGATGGTTGCAGCATCCCGGGAGTGGTGGTGGGGTGTCCTGTGATCACCCTATGTCAGGGGTCTTCAAACGTGGCCACTTTAAGACTTGTGGACTTCAACTCCCAGAATTCCTCAGCCAGCAAAGTGAATAAAAGAAGCTGGATTTGCTTAAGGACCGTATGATTCACTTAACAACTCAGTGATTCGCTTAACGGCCACTTTGCTAAAGAGGAATTGGATTTCTTTCCTAGAAACCTGATTCCCGGGGCTATCTGAGCAAAGCAGAGCTGCAGAAAACTGCTCAGCCGCTGTGTGATAAATCTTTCTTTCTGGTAAGCTGATCTCTTCCTTGCTTGTTATTACACCCATGATTAAATTTATTGAAAATTGGTTCTTTGTGTGTGAGTCTTCAAGTCAGACCAAATTGACTTGATTGATGACAGCAATAGAAGTATTGCATTGCATTGCATTGCATTGTATTGTATTGTATTGATAATTCTGTTGCTATTTTGACTAGCAATTCTCATGCTGATTGCCCCATTACAGGCCGATTCTGGAGGTAAGAGCACCGCCTGGTCTATTGTCAGCACTCTGATTCGCAAGGAGCTAGTCCTCAAGACTAACATCCCAGCCAGGTTGATTTTTTTTTTTTTTTTTGGTTATACTAAAGAGTTGGGAGGGGGGAGAACCTGCCTACACCCTATTGGTTTTCTTGAATTTGGAGAGAGGTCGTGTTTTAACAGAACTGGTCCATTTTTGACAAGATTTGCTTGTCAGTCCAAGAGAGAACGAGGAGATAAACGGACGACGAATGGAAGATGGTTGGAAACTGTGACAGAAGCACCAATCCAGGGTTAAATTTGCCTTAGAGCCATGTTTCTTCCCCTTTGATTTTTATTTGGTTAATTGCATTTATTAAAAGTTCTACCCCACCCATCTCTCCTAAATGGGTGGTTTACCACAACATCACAAAACCTTGTAAATCCACAACTTAGAAGCAGAATTAAGAACAAGGGTCAAAGTGAAAAATCCAAGTTTAAAAATTCAGGAGGCTGGAACTAACGCTCACGGTTGAGCGGAGGGACTTCCGGAGAACCGGACCCTAAAAGGCTATCTTGGCTTGCAACCTCTTTCCAAGCAGATATTCTCTGACCGAAGCAGGGCTGACCGTTGCCCGGGAGCTGCAGGCCTCTGAAGAACTGAAGGAAGACCATTCCAGCACCCCAAAAACCGCAGCACCCCAAACAAGAGAAACCGCTTTGGAGCAAAACGACGGAAGCTCGTTGGGCTCAGAAATTTCAGCCAGCAGCTCCACCGGCAAATACAGGTAAATCCTCGAATTACGATCACAATGGGGACCAGAATTTCCACAATGAGGACCAGCCCCACCAGCAAGCGAAGGTAGTCCTCAAATTACGACCCACAAGGGGGACCAGGATTCTTTGCATTCCATCAGAATGCAAAGAATTTCCACTGCATTATTGGCAAAAAAACTCCCATTCCATATTTCCATGGTTTCTTGGCAAAAATGCTCCCTGCCAAACAATGGCTTCGCTTAACGACGGCAGATTCACTTAAGGACTGTAGGAATTTGATTAAAAACCGCTGCGAAAAGGTCATAAAACGGGGTCAGTTAAACGGGACGATCCACTTTACGATCGTCACAACTTAATGGCCATAAGGGGGGCAGGCTCTGTTATCGTCGTAAGTCGAGGACTGCCTATAATTTCACCCGCCCGGCTATCCTCTCTCTTGCTGATCTTTTCTTTCCTGATTCAGCTGTCAAGAGCCGAACTCGGGGCTGTCCAAAGCCCAGTTGGTTTTGCGACCTGGACAATTTGACGTGATTCTTTGCGTGGATTTCATCGAGACGACAGGGTAAGCAGCCGTGGGGATTAAAAAAACCCCACATCATATGTGTCACGCACAGTGTGTGTATCGGTGTACAAAATCCAGCTGCCTTCACTCATGCAGTATTCCTCGACTTATGATTGTCTGTTTAGTGGCCGTTTGAAGTTACAGGTGACTGACATAACTTCTGCAGTGTTTGCAAGAAAACCGCCAAGCTCAGAGAGCAGCAAGGACCCCATAGTTATTTCTCCTCCTCCTCCTCCTCCTCCTCCTCCTCCTCCTCCTCCTCCACAAACCCCATTCCTTCCAGGACTGATGATGTTACCTAGTTGGGTCATGAAATGTCTGCAAGAAAACAGCCAAGCTCAGAGAGCACCAAGGACCCCACAGTCGTCTTCCTCCTCCTCCTCCTCCTCCTCCTTCTCTCCACAAAGACCCCTCCCTTCCAGCACTGATGAAGTTACCTAGTTGGGTCATGAAATAAAGTAATTTCCTCTTAGAAATAGATTTTGAAAAGCACTTTTTCCCTCTCGCTTGCAGCGGACCTGCCTCCCGTAAACAGGAGCTGGTGCGCGAACTTCAACGTCACAACGTCCCGTTTAGCATCCGGAAGCTTCACGTGGGGGATTTCCTCTGGGTGGCCAGAGAGAGGAGGAGCCAGGTGGCAGGTGGGTGAGAATGTAAACCAGGGGTAGGCAACCTTGGCTCTTTTATGACTGGTGGACTTCCATTCCCAGAATTCCTGAGCCAGCCATGCTGAGGGGAAAGGGAGAGGTTTCTATGCTGAGCCATGCCGGCTCAGGAATTCTGGGAGTTGAAGTCCACGAGTCATGAAGGGGCCAAAGTTTCCCTCATGCTGGCTGAGGAATTCTGGGAGTTGAAGTCCAGGAGTCATGAGGGGGCCATAATTCCCCCATGCTGGCTCAGGAATTCTGGGAGTTGGTCCACAAGTCATGAAGGGGCCACAGTTCCCCCATGCTGGCTCAGGAAGTCTGGGAGTTGAAGTCCACAAGTCATGAAGGGGCCACAGTTCCCCCATGCTGGCTCAGGAATTCTGGGAGTTGAAGTCCACCAGTCACAAAAGAGCCAAGGTTGCCTACCCCTGACCTAAACCCTTGTTCCTAAAGGGAGAATGGCAATCTCGGCTTCCCTGTGCTTAAATCCTTAAATTCTCCCTTCTAATCTCCCTTTTCAGAGCAGTTGCCACCAACCACGGTTCGTGAGCTGGTGTTAGACTACGTGGTGGAACGGAAACGGATGCCGGATTTGTGTGGAAGCATCATCGACGGTCGCTTTCGGGAACAAAAGGTAGAGTCCTCTTAATTCAGGATCTGACCAAGTTGGGAAGGAATTGTAAATTGGACGTATAGAATCTTCCAGTCCTGATTGAGGTTGTAATGTTCATTCATGATTTAATTTCTGGTTCCTAACCATCTATTCACACCACACACACCCTCATTCCGTCCTCTGTCATGCCTCAAATCCAGTTCCGCCTACGACAGTGTGGTCTTTCCCACCCCGTCTACTTGGTAGAAGATGCGAATTCCGTGCAACATCTCAGTCTCCCCGAAAAGACGCTGCAACAAGCGATTGTCAACACTCAGGTGAGGTTCACCTGCAAACGTCTACGGAGGTTGTCCATCTTCCAGGTCCTGGTTGTCCCAAAGGTGTTTTTTCAAGAGGCAACTGGACTTTCTTGTTTTTCTTTAAAGATGTTTCCCTTCTCCTCCAAGAAGCTTCTTCAGCTCCGACTGGATGGTGGGGAGTGGAAGGATTTATAGTCTTTGCAGACCGCTGGCCAGTTGTATTCTTTTAGAGCAGGGGCCTTCAAACTTGGCCCTTTTATGACTTGTGGACTTCAACTCCCAGAATTCCTCAGCCAGGCACACTGGTTGAGGAATTTTGGGAGTTGAAGTCCACAAGTCATAAAAGGGCCAAGTTTGAAGACCCCTGTTTTAGAGGGTCATTGAGGCCACTTGGAGGTTTACCTGTGTCCTCGGGGTTTACCTGAGTGGTACAAGTGGGTGTGGATCCTTCTTGGAACTGCTGAAAGGATGTGTTCCACATCCATTTGCACCACTCAGGTGACCCTAAGCACACAGGTAAACCTCCAAGTGGCCTCAACGACTCTCTAAAAGGAGGCAAATGACCAGCTTTCTGCAAGGAGTATATATCCTTCCACTCCCCACCATCCAGTCAGAGCGGAAGAAGCTTCTTGGATGAGAAACGAAACGTCTTTGAAGAAAAACAAAGTCCAGTTGTCAAATTACCTTTGGGTTTATCTGCAAAGAGGAAAACTTGTGTCTCAAATTCCAAAAGCAGCAAAGATGATGAGGGGACTGGAAGCTAAAACCTCGGAAGAACGGTTGCAGGAATTGGGTATGGCCAGTCTAGAGAAAAGAAGGACGAGGGGCAACATGATAGCAGTCTTCCAATATTTGAAGGGCTGCCCCAAAGAAGCGGGGGGGGGGGATGTCAAGCTATTTTCCAAAGCACCTGAAGGCAGGACAAGAAGCAATGGATGGGAACTAGTCAAGGAGAGAAGCAACCTAGAACTAAGAAGAAATTTCCTGACACAATTAATCAGTGGAACAGCTTGCCACCAGAAGTTGTGGGTGCTCCAACATTGGAGAATGTTTTTAAGAAGAGATTGGATGACCCTTTGTCTTCAATGGTAAAGAGTTTCCTGCCTGAGCAGGGTGGTGGACTAGATGACCTCCAAGGTCCCTTCCAGCTCTGTTATTTGGTTATTCTGACCATAAACCTGCTTTCTAGCTGGTCCCAGATTTTGCCACGTCTTTAACTTGTTCCTTTCAGCTGCATTCATTGTAATCTCCAAAGGGGTTTTGGGATGGCCGTGATCATCCTTCATCATCTTCATCTTCCTCAGGTGGTAGATGGCTTCTTTGTCAAACGTACTCGTGACATTCGGGAATCTGCCGCTTATCTGACCGTCATGACCCGTCACTTGACCAGGCTGTACGAGGTAAGTTTGGAGCGATATGGACTCCTTGGCCCTCATGAGGACTAGTCTCTTACTTTTTTTTTTAAGCTTGGCGTTAAGAGTTCTACTTTGGGGGGGAAAGTCGTAAGTCAAGGATCAGCCGTAAGTTGGTCGTAAGTGGAGGACTGATTGTAAAGACATAGACCAATAGTGGGGGGGGAGGGGAAAGAAAAGAGCTGCTTTCTAAGGATTATTTTCCTCGGTTTCCCCTCTGTAGGACAAAATGCTTTTGAGCTGTACCAAACAGGAACTGGAGGACGAGCGCCCCCTGCAGCCCATGGAGGGGACCTGCAGGCTTCTGACATTTGCTGAATTTAACGAAGGGGCTGCGAAGAACAAGGTGAGGAATCCGGCGGAATTGCATTTTTGGGGGTGAAAAAATAGACGACAGGAAAGACCTCAAGAGGGGAACACGTTCTTTCCATGTGGAAGATCCCAGACTGAACAGAAAAACACAGGCCGTCCTCGACTTACGACGATTCGTTTAGTGACCGCTTGAAGTTACAAACGGCCCTGAAAAAAGCGACTGTGATCAAAATTGGGACGCTTGGCACCTGGCTCACGTTTATGACGGCAGCCGTGTCTCAGGGCCCTAAGGTCCCCTTTTCCAACCTTTAGATTAGAATAGAGCTGGAAGGGGACCTTGGAGGTCTTCTAGTCCAGCCCCCTGCTCAAGCAGAACAGGAGAACCTTCTGACAAGCAAACTGAGTGAAGAAGCCCGATTCACACCACAGCCATATTACAAACTTAACAATTAACGTGATTCACTTAACCGCTGCGACAAGAATGGTCGTAAAAAGGGGCAAAATTCACTTCACCATCTTGGCTTAGTCATGGAAATTTTCGGCTCAATGGTGGTCGTGGTTGGATGTGGCTGGTTTGTCATTGCCTCCTTCCCAGGGCTGGAGAGGGCGTGGCTGGCTTTGGGCCTAAGGCAGGATTTGAATTCGGGTCTTCCAGTCTCTCATCCGGTGCCTTCACCGCCACACGAATTTAGTCCAGATATTTCACCAAAAGACAGGGAAGAAAATCAGTCTGGCTGAACCAGGTCCTGAGCTGCATTCACACAACCGGCAAACCTGCTTTTTTTTTTTTTTTTTTTTTTTTTGAACCCCATTCCTGCTTCCCTTTCCCAGGCACAGACCGTGTACGAAGTCTTCGCAAGGCAACTGATGCAGATCAGCGGCCTCAGCGGAGAGAAGGCGGCTGCCATTTTGGAAAAATACAAAACGCCTGCCAGGTATGACGATCAGGAAGAAGGTTGGGGGGGGGGTGGAATTAATTTTGTTAGCCTGGCATTCGCGTCATGTGTGAAATTAAGCCAACATTAACAGTTTCCTGCACTGCATGCGTGCCTGGCTGAGGAATTCTGGGAGTTGAAGTCCACAAGTCATCAAAGGGCCACGTTGTGAAGACCCCTGCAGTACAGCATCTTCAGGCTGGCCAGGTTGAGAAAAGCTGGCTTAGAGGCTGGTTGCTGGCAGAACAGACCATGCTGTACCCTAGTTTAAAGCACCATCCTATGCGGTGAAGGGTTAGGATCCACATGTATGATGAAACATGAGGGGTTTCTCCTTGGCATGTCAACATTGAGGGCTGGTAACCTTCCCTGGTATTTCCCTGTTCTTTCTCAGCCTGATGGAGGCTTACGCTGCGTGTCCAGATGCAGAAAATAAAGAGCAATTGCTGAGCACCATCAAATGCGGCCAATTGCAGAGGTGAGGATTAGAGCTGGGGGCGGGGGAGGGGGTCTTTCCTCTCTCCCCCCCCTTTGCACAAGCTCCCTCAGCCCCCCCCCCCCGAAATATTGGGTAGTCCTTGACATATGGCTACAATTGGAACCAGGATTTTCATTGCTAAGCCAGCCAGATAAGTGCCCAATTTTACAACCTTTCTCCTCCCCGGTTGTTAAGTGAAACTCCTGGTCATTAAGAGAATCCAGTTTCTCCTCCCCATCCTTGACTTAGCTGGCTGGGAAGGTGGCAATCCTGTAATCGTGCGATGCCGGGATGCTGCAGCTGTCGTAAATACATGCCAGTTGCCAAGGGTCTAAATGTTGATCACGTGACTTCAGGTTTTCCGCGAAACCACGCCCGTGGCTTGCTTAACGACTGCCGCGTTTGCTTAACAGCCGAAGTCATACAACTGGGTCGCGTGGGTGTGACTGACCCGTTTTGCAAGCGTCACGATTTGCCACCGTGGTGGATAAACTCCGTTGTGGTCATAACTCAAGGATTCCCTGTAAGCTGATGGGGATTGTTAGAGAGTGATGCCCAATAAATTGGATGGGTTAAGGAAGGAAGGAACGAGCCGTAGAATTTGCCTTTTAAAAATAATCCCTGCCTCTTTTTTTTTTTTTCCAGAAATCTGGGTCCTTCTCTTAGCAAAACATTGGCTCAGCTGTACTGTACACCCGGACCGCTGCCTTGAACATCAAAAGGCTGTGAGAAGTGTGCGCTGGCTCTGTATGTGTATGTGAGAGAGAGAGAGAGAGAATCAGAGAAAGAGAAATAAAATAATGACATTTACTGTGCTGTTAAAAAATTCCCACAATTGGTCACCTCTTGTAAAACACCAGGAAAGGAGCGTGCCTCAAATCTTGCAGGCAAAGTTTTTTTCCCCAGCTTGCACTTCTTTGCACAACCCAGAAGGGGAGGTGGTTTTCATCTCTGCCTGCACTCCAACAAACACACACATATACCCCTTCCCCAGAAAAGGGTTTGGACAGATGGACGTTCCCTTCAGTGCCTAGCTGTCTCCTGTCTGATTGAAAGCAATCTAAGAAATACACTCACGTGCTAATAAAGTCCTAAGAAAATTGTCTTAATACTCCAATAAAATGTCTAGTAGTTTTTAAAAGCAAGCGTTCTCATTTTTCTTCCAACTGCCTTCCTTTCCTTTCCTTCCCTCAGTCTCGCTCCTTCTCACAATATCTCCTTCCTTACTTTCCTTCCTTCCTTCCTTCCTTCCATCTCCCTCTTTTTCCTACAATATCTCCTTCATTCCCTCCCTCTTTCCTTTCCTCCCCTCGGTCTCCTTCCCTTCCCACAATATCTTCCTTTCTTTTCCTTCCTCTTAATGACTCCTTCCCTTCCCACAATATCTATTTCCTACTCCCCTCCCAATTACAAATTTTGGTCATAAGTCAAGGACTACCTATAGTTGACAAATGCAACTCCTGGTCTAATGCAGCCGGGCCCTTTTCCAATTTCCTACAGTGTCTCAAGCCATCGTTGAGTGAAACCAGCCAACAATGGTTTATTTAATAAAACTTAATTTCCCCGAACCATATTTCAGCATTCCACCTTTTTTTAAACTAACCCTCCTTGATTGGAACTGGAGCTTCAAAACAACATCGAAGGGGGCTAGATTATATATATATATATATATATATATATATATATATATATATATATATATATATATATATTTTAAAAAAAGAAACTACCATGTTTGGATCCCCAGGTAATATTCAGACTTCAAGAAGAGTCATTTGTTTGTTTGAGGCTTTCAAATATTATAGGTGGGAAGAAGAGCAAAAACTGTAGGGCAGTCCGAGAGAAAAAATAAGCAGCTCGCCGTCCTTAGCTCCAGGACCACTGGAAGAATTCATAATATTCGAAAGGCAAATATTAGTTTTTAATCTCCAAGTCAAAATTAGTGCCTGTTTTTAGTCGTGATGCTCTAATTCCACCCAGGACTTTCCAGACCTTGGGAGAAAAATTCCAATTAGGCTCAGAGGCTATTTTCAGTTACCTCTTAAAAGTGACTCCAAAGCAGGAGTCTTCAAAGTTGGCAACTTTAAGACTTGTGGACTGGCTGAGGAATTCTGGGAGTTAAAGTCCACTTTAAGATGAAGTCTTAAAGTTGCCAAGTTTGAAGACCCTCCGAATGCAGATTAGGTATACAACTTACAACTACAATCATGTGACCCTGGGAGGCTGCCTCCACGCCAATTGCTAAGCAGCCGTTATTTTGATCACAGGACAATGGGGATGCAGTGGTGGACCTAAGTCCGAGGATCGATTGTATGTCAATTTCTTCAAGGCTGTTGTAACTTCGAACGGTCACTAAATGAACAGTTGTAAGACAAAGACTACCTGTAGGGTTTCTCAATCTTGGCAACTTGAAAATAGAATTCCCAGAATTCCCCAGCCATCATGGTGTTGAAATCCATCTTTCTTAAAGCATGCTGGCTGGGGGATTCTGGGAGTTGAAGTCCACCCCTCTTAAAGCATGCTGGCTGGGGGATTCTGGGAGTTGAAGTCCACCTGTCTTAAAGCATGCTGACTGGGGGATTCTGGGAGTTGAAGCCCACCTGTCTTAAAGCTGCCAAGGTTGAGATTCCATGGTCTAAGGTAGGAGTCTCCAACCCTGGCAACTTTTAAGACTTGGGGACTTCAGTTGTTTCTGATCATCTCCCATGCGAATGGCATCATCTCATCCTACTTAGCTGCCAAGCCAACCAAGATCGACCGGCGAAGTCCACCTGCGTGCTCTTCTGCTCTGCCCTCCCCTAAAACAGAGATAACTTTACACAAAACCTCGGCAAAAGTCAACCAGTTCAACAACTGCTCTTTGAGTAAAGCCAGTCTTTCCACAGCTGACCCAAAACCTGAGCCATTTTTCCAAAGGAAGCATTTGCAAGGCCTGCGGTCACTCACCCCGTTCCCATTTCAAATCCTTCCCAAACCAGACATCACAAACCGTTCCCTCGGTCTTTCCTTCTCCCCCCCCCCCCAAAAAAAACAAGCTTTTACTAAATCTTGTTGGTCTTTTTTTCTTCTTCTCTATCTCTCTCTTTCTCATTTTCTCTTGGAACCAGAGAAATAAAAATGGAACTTCTATTAAATGGTTCAAATGTCCTCTCTCCATCCCAAGTGCAGAGATGGGTCCTTCTATCCCTATGCAGTTGTTCTCCCTGGGAACACGAGACAAGGTGGCGTTATTGGCCGGCGTTACGGGTCAAGAAGCGATGCTAAGGAAGGGTGGATTGGGTACAGGATGGCCACAAACATCTTTTAAGCTAAAGGTCTGGTTCTGCGGGACTCATCCAGTTCTGGCAATTGGTGATTCTGGTAGATAGTGGGTGGAGAAGACCGTGGGACCGTCAAACTTCCATTTTTTTTTCCAGCAGCAGCAATTGTGTCCTTTTGTTGTTGGGTCGTTCCTCCACCTTGGACAGACGTTTCTGTAAGAGAGACAGGAAAACGGCATTCCGCACAATGAACTAAACTTATTCTGCCATTGTAGAACGTGGTGCCCAGAGAGAACAGCTTCCCTTCCAAAGTTGTGGGTGCTCCATCACTGGAGGTTTTAAAGAAAAGACTGGACAGCCACCTGTCTGAAATGGGATAGGCCAGGGGTAGGCAACCTTGGCTCTTTTATGACTCGTGGACTTCAACTCCCAGAATTCCTGAGCCAGCCATGCTGAGGGGAAAGGGAGTGGTTTCCAAGCTGAGCCAGGATGGCTCAGGAATTCTGGGAGTTGAAGTCCACAGTCATAAAAGAGCTAAGGTTGCCTATCCCTGGTCTAGGGTCTCCTGCTTGAGCAGGGGGTTGGACTAGAAGATCTCCGAGGTCCCTTCCAGCTTCATTCTGATTGATTGATTTACGACTAAAACTGAAGCTAAAATTTCTGTTGCTAAGCGAGACAGTTGGGAGTTTTGCCCCATTTTATGACCTTTCCTGCCATAGTTGCTAAGCAAATCACTGCAATTGTTAAGTTAGTAACATGGTTGTTAAGTAAATCTGGCTTTGCTTGTCAGAAGGTTGCAAAAGGGGATCACGTGACCTCAGGACACTGCGTCCGTCATAACTATGAGTCAGCTGCCAAGTATCGGAATTTTGATCCCATGCCCATGGGGATGTTGTTGCAGCATTCATAAGGGTGAAAAGTGTCAATTAATCCCTCAATCAAAACAGAGCTGGAAGGGACCTTAGAGGTCTTCTAGTCCAGCCCCCTGCTCAAGCAGTAGACCCTATACTGTTTCAGACAAGTAACTGTCCAATCTCTTCTTTAAAAACCCCAGTGTTGGAGCACCCACGACTTCTGGTGGCATGCTGTTCCACTGGTTAATTGTCCTCACTGTTAGGAACTTTCTCCTTAATTCCAGGTTGCTTTTCTCTTTAGTTTCCATCCATTGCTTCTTTGGTGCTTTGGAGAATAATTTGACCCCAAATTATTGAAATTGAGACATTCTGCATGCAAAGCACAGATTCTAACCCCAGGGCTATGCTCTCCCCTTCACTGGAGACCCCCAACCCACTTTCCACCCTATCCCAAAGCCAACTTACCCCCTTCCTTGCCACACCAGGTAAGGGGAGGAGACCTGCCCCCACTAGAACGGATGAGCCCCCACGAAGACGGTGAGGCGAAGCACCGAGCTGGCCTGGTAGCTCATCAAATTATTGACGGTGACCATCTCTAAATCCAGCACAAACTCACGGGGACCCAACACCGCCCGAGATAGCACCAGCATGGCGCTGATGTTGCTGATTTGCTGCAGAGGAAACAGATGTGAGAAGCTGGCCGTGAGTTCAGAAGAAGGATTTAAAGTTTCAAACCTCCAACAAACAGAAGCTCACCCCAACCCTGGGACATGGATTCAACTCGCTAGTCTTATTGTAGGTGGTCCTCGAGTTACGACTGTATAATGGAGTATAAATCACAAGCTGTCAAAGGAGTTGGCAATACAACTGACCTGATTTTACGCTGTTTTTTTTTTTGCAGAGCTCTTTAAGCAAACACAACAGTCGTATGTGCAAATCTGTTGTTTATTTGTTGTTTTAAATATATATTTTATTGATTTTTTTTTTTAACATAGTCACTTTAATATTTGGTAAACAGTGTGCTGTCTGGGTTTACATTTAAAACCAATCAATAACAATTAATTTCTGTAGTTCCATAATCTCCATACTAACTTTTTGATTTTCCCTTCTTCCAATAATATCCTCTTTTATCAACCTACAATTTATTGTTTTAATTTTGTACACCGCCCTGAGTCCCTAGGGATTGGGCGGCATATAAATTTTATTAATAAATAAATAAATAGACCTTGAATTAGTCCATTTCTTAGTATTTTGATAGACAATTGAATATAAACATTTTTTTCTAGTATTTAACAATCACATCAATTTAAAGCTTCTTTTCTAATGGATCACCTTAATTAATCTCATCGTAGATCCTGTTTTCAAAGTTCTTATTTATCTCTTTAAGCAAACACAGCGGTCGTAAATGCAAACCTGTTGTTTGTTATAGGTGCAGCTTTTTCCAGAAACTGGAAGTGTCAGTTTTCTGCAAAATTGTCGCAAAATGCAGTGATGTGACTGTTGGACACGGCAAACAGCTGACTGAGTTGTTGAGCAATGGGCAGTCATATGCCCACAGGGGACAGGGGGGACAATTGATTAGTTGTAATTTGCTTAACGACCGCGGTAACTGATTGATTACATTGACTGGTTACAGATTACAATTGAAATCAACTGATTACAGTGATTTGATCAACAACCGGGGCGAAAGACATCATAAAGTCAGGCATGATTTACTGAACAACGGCCTTATTTAGCAACAGATATCCTAGTTCCAATTATGGTTGTAACTCAAGGACTATCTGTAATGCAGACATTTTTTTTCCTAAACAGGATGCAAAACCCTCCAGCAACTTTGGGATGATCACTATTTAATTAAGAGCTGGCTTTTCCACCCAGAGGGATCAAAAACGGTGCAATTGACCACTTCAATAAAATATATTAATAATCCTAATGCAAGAATCTCCAAACTGAAGACTTGTGGACTTCAACTCGCAGAATTCCCCAGCCAGCTGGGAGTTGATGTCCACAACTCTTAAAGCTGCCAT